AGTTTACCTTAAGACTGCTCTCTCCGAAACTACTAATGATCTCATGATTGCCAAATCCAGTGGCCTTTTCTTGACCTTCATTCTACTTGACTTTTCTGAAGTTATTGACAGTATGGATCACCTTCTTCTTCTCTCTGGGTTTTCAGGACACTACTCTTTCTTGCTTCTCCTCCTTGCTTCTCTGATCACCCCGTAGTCCCTTTTGCTGGATCTTCATCCAGATGATGCCCCCTAACTGTAGGTGTTCTACAGTGTTCTGGCCTAGGCCTTCTTCTCTTCTCCCTTTATACTACTTCATTTGGTGATCTCATCAACTCCCATGGATTTAATTACCATCTCTATGCTGAAGATTCTGCAATCTACCTACATTGCCCTAAACCTATCTGCTAACCTCTAATCTCATATTTCCAACTGCCTCTCAGACATCTTGAACTAGACTTTTTAAGCCCAATATGTCTAAAACCAAGCTCATTGTTTTTCCTCCTAAACTCTTCTCCTTCCTACCTTTCCCATTTAGAGGAGAACATTATTCTATCAATCCCTCAGGCTCCCAGCCTAGGTATCATCCTGGACTTTTCACTGTCTCTTAGCTCCCATATCCAATTTGTTGCCAAGGCGTAAAGCACATTGGCAACATCTCTGATCACTTTTGTAAAATCTCTTGAATTTTATTTCTTCCCCTTCTATCCTCTGACACTGCCACCACTCTGGTGCAGGCCCTCCTCACTCACACCTGGACCATTTCAATAGCCTGCTGGTGGGTCTAACTGCTACAAGTTTTTCCCACTCCAATCCAACTTCCAGCTACCAAAATAATTTTCCTACAGTTCAGGTCCAACCGTATCTCCCCCCTACTCAATAAACTACAGTGGTTCCCTATTGCCTGCAAGATCAAATACAGAATCTTCTGTTTGACCTTCAAAGCCCTTCATAATGTAGCCCTGTCCTACATTTCCAGTTTTCTTACACCTTACTCCCAGCCAGAGAACATTATAACATTGGCCTTCCTCCTGTTCCAAGAACAAGACACTCCATTTCTGAGCTTTGGGTATTTTCTCTGGCTGTCCCCTATGTTTGAAATGTTCTCCTTCCTCATCCCTACCTCTTGGCTTCCCTGGCTTCCTTTGAGTCCCAATCAAAATCTCACTTATTACAGGAAAACTTTCATACCTTCTCTTAATTCTTAATCCCTTAATTATTTCCTATTTATCCCATATAAATATCTTGTTTGTATATGTTCATTTGCATTTTGTCTCCCACGTTAGATTGTAAACTCCTTGAGGGCAGGGACTGTCTTTTGCCTTTTTGTATCCCTAGCACTTAGTATAGTGCTTCACACTCAGTAGGTGAAGAGGTGTAGAGGTCTTGGGGTGCTCCTAGATGCGCAGAGGCACCCCAAGATCACAGCATGGAGTCTGCCTGAATGAATTCAATCCAAATCTTTTTCCAGCCAGAGAAAAAGTTTATTAAAGATAAAGCATATAGGCCAGAATCCCAAGGAACCCAAACATCAGTAACACCCATAAGGAAGAGCGGGCATGAGACAGTCTTAGCCTTTTGGGCATGAGATTCTCAGTGTCTAAATGGGGGCTAAGGTGGATCTCAAATACACTAAAGTAACTTTGGGTGGCCTGAGGAAGGGGAGGTTGGTTGGGAGAAGGGTTTAGGTGACAATTCCATTTGGAAGGTCTGAGAGATTTGAATAAACAATGAGAATAGATAATGAAGGGAACTGAAAGGTAGAAGTTTATTTTCAAAGGGAGATAAAGAGAGTCGATAAGGAACCTAAAAGTTTTAAGGGTTTTCTGGGACTGGTAGACAAACTTCTTTTTAGGGCTAGGGGCAAAGGTACATTTGAATAAGATTAAAAGGTAAGGCTAAGGCTTTCAAAGAGAGATAAAGTGAGTCTACAAGGAATCTAAAAGTTTTAAGGGTCTTCTGGGGTCTGTAAACAAAGCAGCCAAATTCCTTTTGGCTAAAAGGGGAAACTGAATGAAACCCTCCTCAGTAGGTGCTTAAGAAATGTTTACTGATTGAGTGAAGGCTTTCCTAGGTACTCTTAATTCTAGTACCTCCACTCTTAATTACTATATATATATAGATATAGATATAGATATAGATAGATAGATAGATATACATATATAGATAGATATACATATATATATAGATAGATATATACATATATAGATAGATAGATAGATAAGAGATATATATACACACACACACATATGTATATGTGTGTGTGTAACCTGTTTGTACAACTTATTGTTTCTTCTATTGTATTTTAGGCTGCTTGAGGGCAGGGACTGTCTTCTGTCTCTTTTTGTGTCCCTTAGCACAATACTTGGCAACATAGTAAGTGCTTAATGAATGTTTGTTGAGGGGCAGCAAGGTGGCACAGTGGAGAGAGCACCAGCCCTGGAGTCAGGAGGACCTGAGTTCAAATCTGACCTGAGACACATAACACTCACTAGCTATGTGACTCTGGGCAAGTCACTTAACCCCAATTGCCTCATAAAAAAAAAAAAAAATGTTTGTTGACTGAGTACCTCCAATGACAGGAAACTGATTATTTATCTAACAACCCATTTTACTTTGGGACAGCTCTCTACCTTGAGCCAAAATCTGCCTCTAGGCTACCTTCTTCCATTCTTTCTAGTTCTGCTTTGAGGCCAAGAAGACAAATTTAATCCTTCCTCCCCTTGAGAAATCTTCAAATATCTGAAAACAAATTGTGTACTCCTAAGTCTTTTCTTTCTGGCCTAAACATCCCTAATCCTTCAAAATATCATTGAAAGTACAGTGTCCAGCTCTCACCATCCTGGCTGCCCTGGATGTCCTATAACCGGTCACATCCCTCCTAAAATGTGAAGCTTTATACTGAACAGAATACTCCATATATGGTCAGAGCTGAGAAGGGAATTGTGCTGTTATTATGTCCTTTTTTGTGGACACTGTGGCTGCCATTTCATAGTGTTTGTTCCACAAATATTAAGTGCCTACTATGTATGCAAGGTCCTGAGCTCATTGTTAGGGAAAATGGAAAACTGGAGAAAATAGCACAGATTCTACCTTGAAGGAGTTTATAATCTAAAGGAGGAATACAATATTTGCATCAAACTGTTGCAAGAAGAGTTGATCAAGAGAGTTCACTTGAGGGATTCAATTTGATGAATTTTCTAGGTGGTAAAAGCTTTTGTTTTAAAACAATTGCTAAACACTTTGCTCCAGCTCTAATAAAATATGAATATAGTCATTGGTATTTTTTTTGGTGTGGAGGGGAGCAGATGTGTGGTTTCATTGCTCCTGGTGTGGAAACCCCTTCTAGCAATGCAGATGGGTGACTGTTCTCTAATTTATGGTCTTGGAGAGAATTACCCAGAGAACTGAGAGGTAAATGACTTTCCCAGGGTCATACAACTAGAATTCTCCAGTATGTTTTAGAAGAGGGACTTGGAACCATGTTTTCCTGACTGATTACTGTTGGCTATCCACTATTTTGTCAGAAGGACAAAAACCAAACCCCATTTAGTTTATAATGACTGGGCTGCCCTCAAGATGATTTGATTGACTTGTAAATTCTTGTCTAAGTGCCAGGCACAGTAATGGTAGGTGCTTAATAAATGTTTATTGACCAAGTACTTCGAGTGACAGGAAAATGGATTACTTTATCTAACAACTCATTCTACTTTGGAACAGCTCTAATTGTTTAGAAAGGTTTCTTTTACTTTGACACTTTCCAACTCCAGCCAATTAAACAGAATTGATAGACCACACTCTCCTCTCTTTTCAGCACTTCATCTCCCTCCTAGTCCCCTTTAAAAAAATTCATTTTCTGTTTTAATTTCTATTTTTCTTCTGGTCTGCAGAAGTGGGCTAAGGCAAGAGGATTTCCTATTAAATTGACCTTATTTGATCTGGTCCCTTGTTCTATTCTGGTAAAATCTTTTTGAATCTTGACTGTCACCGAATGTGCTGGCTGTTTCTCCTAGTTTTGTATAAGTAAATATGATAAGGAAATCATCCATGCCTTTATTTACATAATAAATACAGATAACGACAGGTGACCAAAGGCTCTTGCTCTCATTAATTGATACCCCTCTTTGGGTCTGGTCAGTGTTCAAGGTCAAGTAGCCCACTTACCCAGATAATTAGAACTAGGACTCAGGGCTCCTGGCTTCCAGGCCAGCTGTCTTCTCTGTCCCTGCCTGCTTCCTCCAGGTTAGGACTGCACAAATCAGTATGGATGAGTGACAGTGATTGGTCTCTGAGGCTCGGTATTCCAGAATGTAATGTTTAATGAGAGAAGAACACCGTAACTAGGACAGGTCAAATTGTGGAAGGACAGGAATTTGTGGTGCTCAGTGGGAGGGAAGGGGGATGGGGAGATGGAGGATGCTATGAGTGATGGTAGTGGGTGGATCAGTGGGGATACAGGATGGGGAGACAATCTGGGGATGACTTGTGTGGAGCTCACTCAGGGATGCAGGACATTGTGGGAGATGGGAGTGTGTCATTCAGTGGCAGAGAAGGGGGACTATGGAGGATGGGAAGTCTGATATTAACTGGGGGATGGGGGACATTGAAGTGTGTGGTGTTCCACCGAAGAAGGGGGGGATCTATTGGGGGAAGGGGTCCTCGGTGTTCAGTAGGGATCTGGTGAGACAATGTAAGGGGTGGGGTGTGTGGATGAGGTCGGATGGGGAGTGCTGGAGGAACTTGAGTGGGAATGGAATACGTTTTATTCAGCAGGGGAACAAGATGATGTCACACGACTTGCGGGCCCCAAGACCCCTAAGTAGCCCCCAGGCACAGCCTCGGTCTCCCCCTCCCCCCTCCACTTGAGTTTCCCTTCCCCTCGAAGGGGAGCCTCGAAGCCTCCCAGCCTGGTCACCAGGCCCCTTAGCAACAGCGTATTTTGGGCTATCCAATCAGAGAGCGTCTCTCCCGCCCAGAGCCAATGAGGCCCTTCGCTGAGAGCGAGGGTACCCGGCGGGGGGAGCCCGCGGCGGCGGTGGCCGCCATCTTGGCTCCGGAGAAACAATAGAGCCGGAGCCGCCACCGGGGACCGCACGGGCCTAAGCCGCAGGTAACGTAATGTCCTTCGCCGCCTCCTCACTCTTCCCGCTGGGGCGGCTGACAGCCCTCCCCCGCATCCGACCCCCGTCTCGGCCCCGGCCCTGAGTCCCAGCAGCGCCTTCGAGGGCACCCAGCGCCCCTCACCGCCCCCCGGAAGCCGCCCCCGGCCTGGCCCTATCGGCCCCGCCCCGGGCCGGCACGGCTGGGCTTGGCCCCGCGCTCCCTCCCCCCCTCCCGAGCCGGCTGCTCCCGGGGCCCGCTCGCTCTGTCCCCTCCTTCGCCTCCCTCCGCTTTGCCCCGCCCCCTCCCACGCCACCCCCGACCGGGCGGTCCGGGAATAGCGGGCTGGGGCAGGGGAGTCCTGAGCTGGCCGGCCGGCCGGCTGGTCCCGATCCTCCCAGGGCTTCACCTCGGTGCCTCTCACTCTACGCCCATTCCTCCCACATCTAACGGGGTGAAGTGGGAGGAGCGCTGGCCTCGGGGCTTGAGCCCTGAGTCTTTTCTTCTCCCTGGGCCTCATTCTCCTCTTTTATGATGGGAGTAGACTGGCTTTAGTAACTGTACTGGACCCTGAACCTTGTTACCATGGCGATTATTTCGTCTACATCCCCATATTGGGATGAAAACAGAAGTCAGCTTACGGCAGGGCTCTTAACCAAGGCAGGTTTGTGGCTAGACATCAGGGGATCCATGAACTTGGATGGAGGAAAAATTATGTCTTTATTTTGACTTATCTCAAAGTGATCTTCAACGTGCCCTTCAATTTTGAATATAGGCAACAATATGGGTGGGGCTACAAGTATTCGTTAGGCGCCTACTATGTGCTAGGCACTGTGTAAACGCTTTACAAATAATATCTTTTATTTCATGAGGGGGTCCATAGGTTTCACCAGACTGCCAGAAAGGTTCTCTGTAACATGACAGCAAACATAACTAGGTAAAGGAGGCTCTGCAACTTCTCTTGTCCCAGCTTATCCATAAGATAGCACTTTTTGTCTCCCATGTGTGAAAGCTTCAAATAAAATTTTGACCTTACTTGTCTTTTAGGTGTCATATCCTATTATATGTATTCACTCAGGACCAAGTCCTGTTCAGTAGACTTTTGAAATCCTGTATCTGACTTCACTTTTCTGTTCTTAACTGCCACAATTTACCATCTGGACAGTTTGAGTTGCTTCTTAATAGGCCTTCTGTTATTACTCTCTTCCTGCAGCACTCATTCATCTATACACTGCGAGGCTGATGATCCATCAGCATGGAACTGATCATAATACTCTGCTAAAAGTTTTTCAATGCCTCTGTTACTTCATGTAGTACTTTGTACCTCTCTAATACAACTACCATTTACTATGGTGTATGATAGTTATTTGTGCTTGTATTTTATTCCTCTGCTGGTTGGAAGCTCCTTGAGGGCAGGAATCATATCCATACTTTCTTGTCTTCCTTACTGCTGTGCACAGTGCCCTCTGCACAGCAAACCTTAATACATTTTTTAATTTAATGAATTAATGGCATATTTTAGGAATGGGAAGGTGCCATATTTAGCAATGTTTTACACTTAGAACCTGGGGCTTTCTGAACTCCTTGGGGCCTGCTCCTCTAGGGCCTTAAGGGCAGCAGATGGAGTTAATGGAATTTCAGGATCCTAAGGATCAGTTTCCTAATCTCTAGAACAAAGCTTCAATTTAACATTTAAAGCCTCAATAAAAATGTCATGGCTATTTGTATTTTTTTGTACTTGATAACAGCTTCATAAACTGTTCATTGTGTACAAATTTTCGAAGTTCACAGGTCCCCCCTCCTTTCATTCAGTACATTTGGTAAGCCCCTACATAGTTTAAGGTGCTGTGGTTGGTCAGATAAAACAGATAAATAAGGCCCACACCCTCTCCTCGAAGTGCTTTTTGTGGGAGAATAAGACATTTATGATACTAACTATAATTTAGGGCAGGATGACCTTAGTTTCCTTATCTATAAAATAATGAAGTTAGACAAAATTATCTCTTAAGATTTCTTTCAGCTGTAACAGACAATATGTCAGTGATGTGATAAATGCCATAAGTATGAGATATTATGCTCTGGAAAGTAGAGTGGAGAGAGAGGCCTCTTCTTGCTTGTTGTTCTTGCTCAAAAATATGCTGACTGTGAAAACGGAAAAGTACCTATGTATTTTATGCATTTATTAAGTGCCTGTTATGTGCCAGATACTACATCCTTATCAGTAAAAAAATTTTGACATACATCCCCCATGTTATGCATATTTATTTATTTTAAAACTATATGTTCATATTGTACCAATAAATTATATTGTAAAATCTAGATTAAAACGGATGAAGTAAAGATGAGCTATTTAAAAATAATTATTTTATTCATTAATGATGCAAACCCCATTTTGTTTTCAAAATGTGAGCATCGATATGAGCATTCTTCCTTATTTTTTAAAATCCATGACTTCATACTTTGTGATATAGCACATTTTTGAGTTCATTTTTGTTTTATTCTGTATTTGCTTGTCTCCTTCATTAAAGATGGAAAGTACCTTAGAGACTTTCTTAGGTGGCCCAGCCCCTTTTGACAGAGGAGGAAACTAAGGCCAATAGGGTAATGTCTGTGAACTCCTCTAAAATCCCATAGCCTGTCGTTTTTCACCATGCAATCTTTGAACAGTTTTTATAGCTTCATCAATTTTGTGAAGGTTATTACTGCTGGTGAAACTTAGGGGCTGTGGCAAATTTAAACTTGGAAGTTTTTTTATCTGAGGTGAATGCAAATTTTTATTCATGAATGTTTTGGGGGGCTTTTGGTAGCCTTTCTATGGGGCAGTTTTGTGATGTCACCTAGTCAGTGCCAGAGGGCAGTTCAATAAAAAAGATCCTCCCTTGTCCTGTCTAGCTATAAGCACTCGAAAAGTTTGCAGGTTACATTTGAAAACTGGAAGGTGGAAATATTGAGACCCACTAATGTAATTTACATTTGTATCATGGATCCCTTTGGCAGTCTGATGAATCCATGGACCCCTTCTCAGAGTAATATTTTTAAATGTATAAAATAACACATAGAATTACAAAGGAATTTGTTCTATTGAAATAGTTATCAAAATATTTTAAAAAACCAAATTGATTGACTCTTGCTTTAAAGATAACGGAAGATTTTCTTAAGGACCTAATTATGAAAATGTTTTTATTTGTGTTCTTTTTATGGTGTTAATAGAACTTCTCAATGAAATATATCAAAGAGACATGACAGTGCCTCTGCAAAATGATTTGGATTTAGGAGTCAGGAGGCCCAAGTTCAAATCTGATTCTTTGACCATGTGGCTTAAAACTTGAGCCTCAATTTTTCATTTGTAAAATGATAAAATAAAACTTATACATCCTACTCTGGGGGTTGTCCTGGGACAGGATTTTGTAAATCTTAAATAGCTACAAAAATGAGAGGAAATGTTTTGCAGATATGCACAATGTACAAGATGAGATTATAATATTTAAAACTAGATGGGGTCTTGGTGATCATTGAGGTCCAGAGGTTGTAAGTAACATGCCACGGTCACAAAAAGGTAGTAGGTAACAGGCTTTACAGTAGTTCACTCCCTGATAAATGTATGGAAAACCTTCGTTCTAAAGCACTTACTAAAACAGTAATGGTAGCGGTGGTGTCTATTTCTGTCAAATTTCTTATATGGTTATCCCTTCCACATCGAGACTTTACCTCTCTAGGTTTTGATATATCCAGGGCCAGTATAAGAAATTAAATGGGAATTTTTTGGGAGTTTTGTGTATACAGACTACACTCGAAGGCCAGCAGATGACACAGAAAAAGTCTAGAAGCTCAGAAATGCGTAAAATATATGTATAGTATTGTATAGTATCAACCCAAATTTTACAGTAAGGTACTATTAAAACACCCTCCCCCTCCCAAAGAAATAAAAAAGAAAAATTCAGACTTCTTCTCTGGTACAAATAGATGGCCCAAATGTTTTACGAGGATTTTCCAGATAGCGGAGCACTATGCCCCTAATCCCCTCAATGTGGAAGGGCTAGCTATAATAGAATGTAGTTACACATACATGATATGAGTAAGAATACAAAATGTTAGGGTTTTGTATTCTGCTGTACTTAAAAGCATTCATCATTTCATAGATATAGATGGTCCCTCCATTGGCATCCCTTGCATACCTTAGTATATAGTGGTCTCAAAACTTTTTTTTTCTCTTTTTGAGGCAATTGGGGTTAAGTGACTTGCCCAGGGTCACACAGCTAGTAAGTATCAAGTGTTTGGTCTGAGGCCAGATTTGAACTCAGGTCCTCCTGACTTCAGGGCTGGTGCTGTTTTATCCACTGCACCACTTAGCTGCCCCAGTCTCAAAACTTTTTTGGTTATGAGTCCTTATCAGTAAAAATATTGTGATCATGCATCTCCTATATAAACATATTTATCTATTTTAAAATTATGCATGTATGCTATTAAAATAATATATTAGTTATATTTAAAAGGATGAGATAAAGATGACAAACTTAAAAAGTTGTTTTATTCATTAATAGTACAAAACTCATTTTGTTCTCATGAAAAATTATAATATTTTCATGAGAGCCATATGACTATACTTATTTTTAAAAATCTTGGCTTAAAACTTTGTGATTCAGCTGTTGGAAGATGTGATTCTGAGTTCAGTTTTTTTCCTGTACTTGTCTCTATTAGAATGTAAGTTACTCGAAGGCAGAGACTGTTTTACTCTTGTCTTGTATCCCTAGTGCCTAGTTTGTACATAATAGATACTTAATAAATGTATAGTGTGATTCCTGGCTATTGGCGGCTGTTGTTGAAAAACAAATGCCTCGCAGACGGTAATGGATCGATCCAAATGGAAAAAGTGTCACTGGTTTCACTTTCTAAATCATGAAACTCAATTTTTAGTTCTACCAATTATCTAAAGGTACATTTCTTCAAGTAAATTTTCATCTGATAGCAACCAATTTTTGCAAATGATTTGAAAGGTGTAGCATTTTTACA